AGAACATTTTCTTTAGATTTTTTAAAGTCTTCATTTGTTACTTTCATCCTGCGTTCTCTCAAGGCCATCAGACCGGCTTCTGTACAGATTGCCTGTGAGAAAGAACAGTATGTTCAGAAAAGGAAATCCTCTGTATTTGAACAATTCAGAGCTACTTAGAAATAAGGTGTAAGACACCCAGGCTAAAACTGCTTAAACCATTTGGGAAAAGATTAGATCTTGTGAATGTTTTAAGCATTCTAACAACTTTCTCAGAGGATCTGAAGTGGCTCTGAGGAGGAGGACTGGCTCGGGGTCTAGCTGGTGGGGTGGCCCGGGAGGGAAGCTCTACAACCAATGCCCCACTCTCGTCACAGGGAGTCCCGTTCCCAGGCAACAGATGCAGTTACGCCGGGAAACTCCGAGGCAGCGGAGCACCCATCCATTTCACCTGTCTACACGGAGCAGAGGACCTGTGTCCTGGCTGTACGGGAATCTCCGTGTCACGTGCCAAAAGTAAAACCACGCATGCAACATGATGTGATAAAACCACAACCTCGGCCCTGAAGTTTATCTGGTAGTGACCTTCAGGGTATTTCAGATGGTTCAGCGAAAAAGAAAGTGAACAAAATATAAAGAAGTAAAAGGGTAACATTTAGTGAATTGAAGTGATGGGTATATGGGTGCTATTACAACTTTTCTGAAGACTTTGAATTTCTCAAACTATAAAGCTGGTGCAAAATGTAAAAAAGCTCTTGAAAACTGAAATCACCAAAAAAGACACCCAGTTCTGCAGGTGCCAACGACGCACGGTTCCGCACAGGCACTGGCGTGAAAAGGCCCTACGTGCGCCGTCCCCACCTGACCGTGGCCCTCACAGTGGACAGGAACCCAGGTCCTCACGTACAAAGCAGGCCGGACCCATACTCCGTGCTGCCAGACCTCGCCGTCACTCACACACACAAAACCAAGAGGTGCGGTCCAGCCCAGGTTCCCACCTTGATGTCGGCCCCGGAGAGGTCATCTTTAGCCATGATCAAGTCATCCAGGGTCACGTCATCGGCCAGCGTCATCCTGCTTGTGTGGATCTGA